TTTTAATAAGATTTTAGAGATTTTCTATAATCTTATTTAATAGTTAAGGCCATTGTCAAATCTAACCGAACCGAGCTGAGCCAAAAGTTTTTGAGCTCGAGTTCGTCTATTTCTTCTAACATGTTCGTGTTTGTTCGTTTAACAATTCGAACAAATATTTTTATTTGGTTCGTTTGTTAGGTTTGACAAGTTTGTGTTCGTTCATTTATATAATCGAACTCGTACACGAACTGTTCGAATTTTTCAAATTGTTCGACAATTTCATGGCTTGACGAAACAAATCTTGAACGAAAATTAATGTTTGAGCCATTTTAGAGATTATTGAAGTAAATTAATGTTTTCATAACTTATATGTATAATAATCATATATTAAATGTATATATATACATGTATAGATTGATTTTCGGTCCGGTTGGTTAACCGTTCACTATTATCCAAACCGAACCGAAAACTTAAATGTTATTAAAATGCAAACCAAAAACTGAATCAAATTTTCGGTTCAGTCAAAAACAACTAATCGAACCGATTTGAACCAGTCCAATGTTTTTAATAATTTATTTAATAAATTTAATAATATTTTTTTATTTATATAAAAAATATTATTAACTGCAATATTATTGGTTTATCTCAAGAAGTAATTGATCTTCTTAATAAACTTTGAATTTTTGGTTGAACCAAAATTTGATTTTTTATTTTTTATTTCTGGAACAAAAAAAATCTTAATTTTGTGTACTTTTTTCAATAAATTTCAAATTCTGCTCTAAGGAAGATCTCGGACCCAAACCATGGCTCGACGAAACAAATCTTGAACGAAAATTAATGTTCGAGCCATTTTAGGGGTTATTGAAGTAAATTAATGCTTTTATAACTTATATGTATAATAAAAATATATTAAATATATATATATATATATATATATGTATATATATTTATATATATATATATATACATGTATGAATCGATTTTCGGTCCGGTTGGTTAACCGTTCACTATTATCCAAACCGAACTGAAAATTATTATGTTAATAAAATGCAAACCGAAAACTGAATCAAATTTTCGGTTCAGTCAAAAACAACTAATCGAACCGATTTGAACCAGTCCAATATTTTTAATAATTTATTTAGTAAATTTAATAATATTTTTTTATTTATATAAAAAATATTATTAACCGCAATATTATTGGTTTATCGCAACACCTTGAATTTTCAACCGAACCAAAATTTGATTTTTTTTTTCTTTGTTTGGAACAAAAGAAATCTTAATTTTGTTTACTTTTTTCAATAAATTTTAAATTATGCTCTAAGGAAGATCTCGGACCCAAATCATGGCTTGACGAAACAAATCTTGAACGAAAATTAATGTTCGAGCCATTTTAGGGGTTATTGAAGTAAATTAATGCTTTTGTAACTTATATGTATAAATAAAAATATATTAAATATGATATATATACACACACACATGTATAGATTGATTTTCGGTTTGGTTGGTTAACCGTTCACTATTACCCAAGCCGAACCCTAAATCTAACTGTTAATAAAATGCAAACCGAAAACCGAATCAATTTTTCGGTTTAGTCAAAAAACAACTAATCAAAACCGATTTGACCCAGTCCAATGTTTTTAAAAATTTATTTAATAAATTTAATAATATTTTTTTATATAAATAAAAACACATATTTAATTATAATGTATATGCTAAAGTTATTAATTAGCTTACATATTTGAATGATTTAAATTGTCATACTATTTAATTAAAAAAAATGTATATAAATTTTACTATATACAATATTATGCCCATTAAGGAGAAAAATAAAATCTTATCGTAGAATAGCCTCTCCCTC